GGTTTTTTTTCAGTCCAGAAAACCACGTCGGTCTCTGTGGTGTTACCGCCACCTCTGTGTGACGTAGCATTGGCTGAACAGCACCCCCTGTGCCCACATGTGGTAATTACAGGTTTCCAGACAACATCAACCAGCAACAAGCAACTCAGATGTGTTTCAGTAGAATAAAACTGGTTTGTGTTTACGGACTTTGGCTTAAAGCTAGCCAACAGGAAAAAGGCTGCCTGCGATTTTAATTTACAGTTATGAAGCTCCGGCTGCGTTTCTGTGCGGCACACAAACGTCTCGATCGAGCGTTTCCTCTCGTGATGTTTGCCAGCTGAGCGATAGCCTCACAGGTAAAATGATTTTTGATGCTGTGACTTCTGTTTGTAACTCTGACTCGCAGCGTCTGAGTGGTGATGTCATGGTTTCTGAGAACAACGGAGATGTTAGCATAGCGCTGAGCTCCATCGTTACCACAGACAGTATAAGAGACGGAAGTGATGTCGCCCGCTGATGTCTGAAGCCTCTAGATCAGCGTGTGACATTTTGAAACCAATGTCCCACGCTGTATCAGTCCCGCCCCAAGAAAAGGGGCGGGACTGATACTGCTCACTCATTGGCTAATAATTTCTGAGCAAAAGTTTAAAAAAATGAATAAATTGTAACATGAACTTAAATTTTTATTCAGTTTGACATGAAACAATTGATGGAGCTCAAACTCGTTGGGGAAGTATTTTCAGAGGTCACAGACGTCTACAGGACAGGAAGTCTTGTTGCACCCACAGCTGTTGCCCCCTGGTGGCCTTTAATATGAGTGCAGGTTTAAGGCATTTCTGCTTTGGCAGCAGTTTTCAGTTGCGTCCATCTGTTATACTGCCTGTGAGAGTTAGTATGAGATGTAAACCTTACATTTAGATCTGGTCTTGTTACTGAAGCACCTGCAGAAACAACTGAAGCTGTGGACTGCTGGACGTTCTCCGTTCTCGTGGCGTTTAGCTTGTGGCTAGTGCTGATGTGGCGCTGTACCGCCGCTGAGGTTCCCTTTAAAGTCTTTTACTGTAGCTCATGTAGTCCTCATAATGCTCCGAGATTAAGCTCTCCACCTGTACAAACACATTTAGATGAACATATTCAGCACATTTAGCCTGCTGCATGAAGGATCACATGACTGAAGTTCTGTCATTGGTTAGTTTGAACGTCCTGTGCTCCCGTGGAGGAGTGGATGATTTAACCTGATAACCATCTGTGTGTATGATAGCTTCCAGTACTGTAAATACTCTGTGTACGTTCATATGGGACCAACTACCACAGTGTATACTGTATACATGCTCACAGCACCTCCCACACAGCATGCTGTACAAAGCTGCAGATTAAAGCTGCTGCTTCATGCTTCCATCCCCACGTGTTGTATCTCCATGTAGACATAAAGTATCGCACGCTTCACTTCATCATGAAATAAAGAGCAGAGGATCCATGTGTGCACAAGTTTCATTTATTATGTGTACTTCCTGTGAGCAGGTGTTCATTAGCAGGTGACTGAAGTGTGAGAAACTGCATGATTGTGACTTACAAACATTTGTTTCTGTGCGTCTGCATTTCTCTAAGCGGGTTTTATGGAGTGACACCTGCAGACCAGAAGAGTTATCATTTGATATTTATAACATTTAATATCTGAGCGTTATCTAAACCTGAGAAAAATAAGAAAATACTGATGGCTGGTGGAGCTGGACATTTTATACAGACTGAAGTGGAGAGTGTGTCCTCAGTTATAAGGTACGAATTTAAAAGATCTTCAAACAGAGTTTGGAGTAAAATAAAGTAAACATAAAGGAATAGAAAGAAACTTCCACACAAACTCTACTGTATAAACAGCTTTTACGTGTCATGTTTTATAGTTTTATTGCATGTTTAGGGTGAACAGAACACACATTACTTGATTTGGATTGTATTCTTTACTGGAAACCAATAAAAGCCTTTTTAATTATTCCTATTTTTAAGTTGCTCTCAACAACGTGTTTAGTTTTTGAGCGTGGGAGGGAAATCTTAAATACGACATTTTCTACTGGAGTTTGGCAGGAGTTACGTGACAATAGTGCAACTCAGTGGTGTAATGTCAGTATTGCAGAAGACCGGCTGTTGGCACCAGAAGGAAAGCGAAGCATGTTTTTGTTGTGGGCGGAGGGAGCCAGCTCATATATTTATGTCAGTGGGCGGAGCTTGTCAGTCTGCAGACTAGTGATGTGCGATAACACTGATTCACTTTCTGATCTGATACCAAGTAATATTGGTGGTATCGGCGATACTGATCCGATACTTTGTACAAAAACTTATTTTTTTTACTGTATCTTTTATTGTATCTCAAATTATAGCGTCATAATGATTACAGGACACCAGATTACTTGTTCTTATCGCTTAATAATGCAGAGTTCATCATATAGAAATAAAAAAAACAGAAGTTGTGAGCTATTTGAACACCTTGCCTGCCTGCAGCACTAAAGGACTCCGTGAGAGACGTCTGTCTCACCCTAGCAGCACCTGTCCCGCTCCTCCTCTTCAGTTCGCCTCAACATACCACACAAAGATCACTACTCTCCTCAGTGACAACAATACCTACGAAGCCTTAAAGCGAGACCCCACAAGCAGCTACAAAAAGAAAGTTATAGCTTGCCTTCAGGACCTTGAAAGGGACAAAAATCATTGACCGCCTCACATATCATATCACTTTATCCAGGGGATGCCATACCCTGCATTTTTGGACTTCCTAAGATCCACCCAGAAGATGTCCCACTCAGACCCATTGTCAGGAGCATAAACTCAGCCACTTACAACATCTCGAAACACCTTGCTACCATCCTGCACCTCTTGTGGGGAACACCCCACATCACATCAAGAACTCCACCGACAAGGTCCAGAAACTTACCCTGGATCCAGATGAAACCATGGTGTCCTTTGATGTAGTCTCTCTCTTCACTTGCATACCCACCACGGAGGCCGTGGAGACTGTCGGAAAACGACTACAAGATGACAGCTTGGATTAGCATAGCACTGTTAGCATGTTAGCTCTCCTACAGGAGTGAGACAAACATTAAATCACAAACATGACGATATTTAATACAAGAAATCATGATTAGATCTAAACAGCAGATATATATTTAAATCAAACAGATAGCTTATTTAATGCTTCTTTTTACCTTTTAATCAAAGGTCCACACCTGAACCTTTGCTCAGGTGTTCCTCTAAAGCAGGGTTCTCAAGCTGTGGGTCACTGCTGGCACTACGGTGGCCCTGAGAGGCCAAACAGACTGCAACTTAAAAAAAAACATCAGCAATAAGAAAAACACTGCAAAAGTACACAAAACACAACGGAAATAGGAAAACAGAAATAGGAGAAAACACAAGTGTTTCTGGGGAGACAATAACCCGACGGACCAGTTGCAGGAACCCAAAACACGGTAGGCGTGTTTTATTATGATTCATATCATACTGATGACGGATTTTTAGGCTAATAGTCAGGCTAACACTATTACCTCTCATCTTTCCTTTCCTCACAAAACCGATAGATCCTCCACTTCTTTCAATTCTTACCATATTTTGGTTCCTGTAACTGGTCCGTCGGGTTATTGTCTCCCCAGAAACACTTCTGTTTTTTCCTATTTCTGTTGTGTTTTGTGTGTTTTTGCAGCGTTTTTCTTACTGCTGGTGTTTTCTTAAGTTGGCGCCGTATGGCACTGTCGTCTCATTGGACGGCCACTTTAGTGTTCAAGTAGTACAAACAAAACAAAACAAGTAAACACCCACAAAGATTTCCTAAAATGTTTGGTTTTTTAAATTTCAAATATTGTATAAAAACACACACTTTTACCCCCCCTCTTAACAAACTGAAGCCTTTCATTGAACAACCAAATGAACACCTGGCAGCACTTTTGTTATCATTGTGTTCATATTTAACAAAATAAAAGCGCAGACATAAGTGTACACATTAGTTGTGACTCTCACTGAGCTAATACACCCAATCCCTCAGCATGTTTGTGCTCTCTGCTCATGTTGCCTTCATATTCAATCATTTTTGTTTTTTTTAAATAACTTATTTTAACATTGCACTCAACAACAAACAAATCCCCCCTAACAAAAAAAGTCAAACATCAAACTGCGTTATATTTTTTCATGTCAACGTACGGGCCACAAGTAGGGGTGATACGGGCCGCGAGTTTGAGACCCTCTAGACTCACACCAAGCTGGCCCAATCACATCTTTGAGAAAACTCCCCTTACAGATGGGATTGGCCCTTCAGAAAAAGAGTGACAAATGAAATGGATGGAACTGTGGCAGATGATGAAGATGGGCCCACTGAGGAAGACCTGTAGAGGCTGTGTGCAGCTGAAGCTAACAGTGGACTGTTAGCCCATTAAAAGAAGGCGATGAGAGGTGATGGTCCATGTCTCTACATTGGAACATCAGACCTGTATGGCTCCTCCTGCAGGTGTATCTGAGGAGTCCCTCTAGAGCCTGGCTCCGGGGCGTGGGGTCTTGGGCGAGGTCATTAGGTTATTTGTTTAATTGGACTTAGTCTAATCCCACATTCACATTCATATTTCCCACGGAGACTTATCAGTCTGGTCCTGGTCGTGTCAACATGTAAACCGCTCGTAACTCGCCCTGATATCCAGGAGTTACTTTATTCTGACAGTTAAATATTACAAAACAACACTGACATGAAGGTTTGTTTTCTGTATGTGACAAACAACAAGCAACGGGCCACTGAATAACAAACTATATAAAAGTCATTAAATAGAGCACAGTTCCATTAACTTCACTGAATTATCATGTTTCAATCCACCTGAATGCAGCAAAACGTTTTTAATAATTATCTGAATGGGAAAATCGGGAGGAAATCCTCAGATCACTGTGAAAATGCTCCATCATGGCGCAGCAGCAATTGAAGCGTTATCATCTCCACACAATAAATCCAGACGAGCGTGTGTGTAGTGCTGAAATCATGCTTTATTAAATCAGTAATGCACAAATCTCAAGGAGGAGGAAACAATTCTACATCAACAGATCAATGAACTCAAAGTGCAGGGC